CATGAAAAGTTCCATCTTGAAACACACATAAACAATTTTGTGTCTTTTTATATATTCCAATGTGCAATAAAAGGTGCTGGAAACTGGTCGACAGCTAAAATTTTACGCTACAAAAAATTCAGACAAATGAGGGATGGTACAGTCCAATTTGTTTTAAAATTTGATGATTTGAGATGGAATGACCCAAAATGGCCAAATGCAATACCCGCATCGCAGGAGATGCCTTTTTTTTTTTTGATAACGGCAAAATGTGCCAATATAAATGAAGCATTGTGGTGCTACAACCCAATGCTGTGACAAAAAAAGTTAAAATAAATAAATAAATTTGTTAAAAATGTGCTGCTAAAATTGTGGCTTAGCTTTTAATTCTAATATCTGTCTAAATAACCGCAATAGAACTTGTTTTTAATGATAACCACTCCCAGACATATATCAGACCACCATCCACTGTAAGGTTTATGCCAAAGCTGCCCCAAATTAACAGCACTGGTAATTACCAAAATCATTTTTATGGTTCTGTAATGGCTAATACACCAGTATGTAGAAGCTCTTTAACCAAAATGATATTTTTAGTGCTAAAATAGAACTATTGTTATCCATCAATTTTCAAATTTAAAATAATCGTAAAGTGCATTGTCATTTCTTGATAAGATGTCAGATTATAGCTATTTACTTGCATTCCTGAACAGAAAAATGTGCTTTAGTGGTTGAATGTTAATGCTTGCTGGATTAATTTCTGACTTCTCAGAGAAGCCCAGTGGCTCAGATTAGGGTATAGAAAAGTGAATTCAGTTTGAAATTCCTAATTCCTGTTCAAAATGGTAAAACGCTGAGAGCTGAGTGCAAATTAAAGCACTTCACGATGCACATACACTGTATAAAAAGACACATAACCTCTTTTTTATCTCACTGTCTGATATTAAATGTGACTAAACTGTTTTAGGTCAGTTCGGATTATCAAAATGATTTCTATTTGCTAAATGCCAGAATAATCAGAGAGAATTTTTTAATACTTTCTTCTAAGTCAGTAGTTTACATCCATCTCCTCAGTATCTGGTAGCGTTGTCTTTAAACTGCATGACTTGGGTCAAATGTTTTGGGTTTCCTTCCACAAGCTTCTCACAATAGCTTGATGAATTCTGGCCCATTCCTCCTGACAGAACTGGTGGAACTGAGTCAGTTTGTTGGCCGCCTTGCTCCACACACCTTTTCAGCTCTGCCCACACGTTTTCGACGGGACTGAGATCAAGGCTTTGTTATGGCCACAAGTAACGGCTTCTTCCTCTCTGATTAGCCCCATGTTGGTAAAGGTTATCAAAAGCTTCCAAAGCCATGACATTATCATCTGGGATTTCCCAAACTGTTTTACCCGTCAGGCAGATAGAGACTGAGTCAATGTGGAAGAAATATAACTATTTCCAACCACAGTAACTGTTGCTGCATCTACCTGTGCCGACGGAAGGAACCAGATCAACCGATGATCATCGTTCACTCACACAATGCGAACAGGTGAAAACGTTAGCTCGCACACGCTCAAATATGGGAACATTTTGGTCGCAGTCTAGAGCCCTGTGTGGGCACACTGCTGTGTTATTACAACATAAATTATAACATTAAATTATGTTGTATTATATCAGGTAAATCCCATTAATTTATCAGATTAGGAAACACACATCTCTCGTGGGCCACATAAAATGACGTGGCAGGCCAGATTTGGCCCGCGGGCCTTGAGTTTTACACATGTGGCTTAGGGTCATTGTCCATTTGGAAGACCCATTTGTGCCCAAGCTTTAACTTCCTGGCTGACGTCTTGAGATGTTGCTGCAGTATTTCCACACAATGTTCTTTCCTCATGATTCAATCTATTCTGTGAAGTGCACCAGTCCCTCTTGCAGCAAAACACGCCCACAACATGATGCTGCCACCCCCATGCTTCACAGTTGGGATGGTGTTCTCAGGCTGGCAAGCTTACCCTTTTTCCTCCAAAGACAATAAGCTCTTTGTCCCTGTGTGCATTTGCAAACTGTATTCTGCCTTTTTCTGTTGCTTTTGAAGTAATGTCTTCTTCCTCTCTGAGTAGCCTTTCACCCCAGCCTATCAAAAGCTTCCAAAGCCATGACATCATCATCTGGGATTTCCCAATAATTTGAAGGCACAGTCAGCTTAGTGTATGTAAACTTCTGACTTTAAAGAAAGTAATAAAAAAATATCAAAACAATTCTCTCTCTCTCTCTCTCTCTCTCTCTCATTGTTTTGGCATTTAGCAAATAGATATAATTTTTGTAATCCTACCTGACCTAAAACAGGAAAAGTTTAGTCTGATTTAATGTCAGACAGCGAGAAAAAAAGGTTATGTGTCTTTTTACACAGTGTATGTAAACGTCTGGTTTCCACTGTATATAAAATAACTATCTGGCAAATATTCTGAAGTGATTTACCATTAACAAACGTATTTACAGAAGTCCACTCACTGTGATGGTGCCACGACCTGCCGGCCTATTGTTCTTCAGCCTCAAAGGTCGAGTCATCTGCCTGTTTGAAACAATCTGGACACAAACATCAGCGGCATCAACAAACTATAAAGGAAGGAATGATCAGCGTTTTATTAAAAGTAGACCAAAGCGAAGCTCACCTGGCCCAGGGTACACTCAAGCTGCCCCAGAAAATCATCATCACCCAGGTCGTAGGTGTTATTGTCAATATCATAGACGCAAAACCTCAGTTTCTGCACCATCTCGAAATAGTAGTCAAGAACAAATTTCTTGGCAAACTTCGGATTCAGGCAGTTCAGGATCATTTCTGTGCGCCCAAACTAATTCACAAAGAAAAAAAACAAAACATATATCTGATGTAAGATCACGGCTCAAGCTATGAAGACAATGTGTACAAGTTCTGTGATATACACACATACACAGATCGACATAAACTGCTTAATCAAAATAAGGTAGGTATAAAACCCTCCTAATACAGACCTCATACCAGTGGGAGCCTGTACTGTTGACAAACAAGGCACACAGAGGGTCAGACTTGGAGAAGACATCCATGTCCATGAGGTTTTCACAGGAGATGGTCAGCTCCACCTTGGTAGCCATAGCAGTGGCCCCTGGCATCAGGGCCCCACCTGTGGCCATGGCAGCTCGTCGAACTAAAACACACACACTGAAAATCCATATATGCAAATTTAACTGCAACAGAGCACAATTACATGATACTTTACCTCAATATTTGGAGTTTCTATAACAACTACTTTGGAATCAGTTAGAATAATAATCACTCTATTTGTATAGCACCTCTAAGAACAACAATTCACACAACAAGTGCTTTGACAGGTAAAATACAGGTAAAATACCAGACAGGACAGGACAAACACAGGTAGAAACAATAAAAAAGTGCATGCAAACACATGTAAATACACACCGTAAAAAATGAAAATGTACAGAAAGGACAGGTAGTTTAAAAACTGGTTAAAAGGACGACATCACACAAGAGAGAAGCTGAAGAGAAAATCACAGATAAGAAATAGATGAAGATCAGGAGGTTAGAAAAGGAAACTACAAGCAGTAACAAAAATATTAGAAAGTGTTAAAAGAGAAATAAAAGTCTATAAAAGTGGGTTTTTATCTGTTGTTGGCTGGTTAAACTTCTGTACTTTTACTCCAAAAAGAAAATTTAGCCTTGACATTGGGGGGTATTTCTGCTTTTTTAATAAGTAATTGTCAGTGCCAAGTAAATAAAGTGAAGCCAGTGACAACATGGGTTTATTGCTAAGAAAAATTAGCTACCTCTAGCACTGGTTTGTCACAGAATGCCCCTTTAACACAGCAAAAATCAGATAAAGAAGAGGTTCAAAAACACATACAGCTTAATATGTAATAACATATAATTACCCACAGGTGTTGAACCAGACTTGGGGACGGAGTTTCTCGCCGTTACGAGGCTAACGTCGGGATTAGCTCAGAGCAACATGCAGGCGGTGACAGTTAGGTGGGTGTGGCGACGCCTCTGCTCGAACTCAACAAGCAAACCTCTCCACCCACCCCGTTATTATCAGTTAGTAATAGTTGTCAGCACGCTGGCGCTTATTTACCTGTTTAATTCCTGAGAAACACACTGTTTGACTTCAGCTTCTGGTCGTATATGAGCACGTAACGTTTATGTGACAAGAACAGCTGGAAGAAATCGGGGGTGGAGCCCCAAGTCGGCACTGCGCTGCCCAGGCTTACATCTTCGAGTCGTCCCACTTATAAGTCATTTTCTCACAGTTTTCTCTCAAAAAGTAAACTTTTTTGACCGAGGCAGACCGTGTACAGAATGTCTGCTCCACCTGTGTTAATAATAAATGAGAAGCACTTTGTTGGGACGGTCTGCGGTGGTGCAATAACCAGCCGATACTACGGCGGAACTCTCAGGAGCCTTTTGGTTGTTTCCAGTCGACCGCATAGAGAGGACGGACCTCTCCGGGGGGCATTCAGGAAACAAATTTTGTAGCAGTAATTTATCATGTAGCTTACTGTTGTGGCTAACTTAATTAGCAATAAGAGATGTGTAGGGCGTTTGTGTAGATGTTCGTGTAGCTACAGGAGCGTTTATTGTTTTTTTTCTGCGTTTAAAGCAGTTTTTACCTGATAAACAGATTTTTGTTTTTAGCCTCTCCGACACTGTTGCATCTGTTCCGCCGGCCCTCATACACCTCCTGCAACATCCTGTTTAAAGATGCCAAACGAGATTATATGATTTACAGCGAACAATATCCGTGAATGTTGTAGTTCTTTGGCAGCATTCCTGGTTTGCGCTCTTGAACGTTTCCGGTTTGCGCTCACGGCCGCCCCCCTCCCGGTCTTGTAGCTGCACCGCTTCTCATTCCTGACTACTGACTGTTGGGACTTTTGATACAATGGCTGGAAGAATTGTTGCACGATGTGTCAGCAGGACTTTTCTGGAATATGCATCATGTGCGAGAGTAATCAGGGGGACCAAGCGCCACTTCCGGACAACTTTAGGAGGGACTGTCCCTGCTCTGACTGTAAACAACAATACCTTTTTTAAAATTTATTATTATTATTTTAACTATTGTGACTCCTCGGACTGTTTTGTTAGTCTGAATAAAACTGCTTCACCTGTCAGTGATTGTGCTTTGTAAAGTGCCACTTCCAAAAAAAAAAAGCGACTGATTGTATGTAGGTTAAAGGGCATCAGGTCGATAATGTTGTCAGAGCTGATTAGTACCTGCTGCAGCTTCAGGAGCAGCAGGATTGTACCAACATGTAATGATGAGTATGATTGTTGTAATTCTCTAAACATCCCAGGACACACTCAGTCAACATGAGGGAGTGCATTGACCTGGTGTCTGAATAATGCAGCTCTGCTAGTGGCAGGTTACTCTGGGTCAACTGTGACCAGTGATTCTAAATGAAAACAACTTCTTATTTCTGATTGCATCTCTTGCATACATTTTCATTGTTTATGTTCACTTCTTCTCTTGTGCACAGAGCGGCCGAGCTGCGTTCTTCCTGGGGATTCCTACGCTAACCTTCCTGGGATTTAAAGCTTATCACAGAGTTCAGAGTTCAGCTGTCGTCTGCGCTTTAGAAAAAGGTAGACTGTGACACACACGCAAAATAAATAAGTAATGGAAGTAAAAAGAAAGCTTGCTCATAGAGAATCCAGGGAATCCTTGAATTTGTTGGGTTTTCATGTAGGTTAGTCTCCATAGTTGATAGTGCCAGATCTTAGCCTTAATATTGATTACAGTCAAGTAAAGTTGTCTTTAGTCTGTTAGCGGCGATTCTTTAATTGGAAGCCGAAGAACAAACTGGAGACTGTGTGTTTTATAATTTACATGTGACCATTTCAGTAAAAAAAAAAAAATCGATCATTAATTATTCACCAAACAAATACTACGAAGCTTTTAGTGATCAGAGATGAATCTTATCCAGACTATTTCTTTTTGGTATGCCCAATGTGCAGAAACTTCAAGTAGAAAAGAGGTTTTCTGCTCACTTTTTTGTTACAGGCGCCTGGAATTGTCTGAAAAAAAATTCACCTCCAATCGACTCTGGCAGTCCTCAATCAGACGTGGTCTCAGAGTCAACCAATCCGGGTCACCGCACCAGATTTGTTAGCCCCGAGAACAAACTGGAGAAATTTTCAGTTCACAGATGTAGAATTTATTTAGGTCACAGGTAAAGTGAGGCAGCGCTGGGCTCGGAGTGACAGAGCTCTCACGAGAGAGCTATCAGAAAGAGCCCCGATATCTGGAAACAATTCACATTTGTCTTCTTGGACAGGAATAGAATAGAGGAGTTTCCGCTGTCTCCTGGTGTGTGAACCAGTTATCATATTGTCTTCAAGGACATGCATTGTGCTCAGTAGAAAAAACAGGATCAGTGGAGAAATACAGATTCAGAATACATGATAGGTCAAAACATAGCTAATTATAACAATTTTATGCTTAACATTTAAATTACTCGTACCATAAATACCACTACAGGATCCTAATCTCAATATTTCAGCTTGTTAAGTTAATTCTAATCGGTATTTTTCTAGTGGAAAGTCCTGGTTCAACAGCTGTTCTCTGTATGAATACAAGTGACTCGACACAAACTTTTTAAATATGAAATTAGGTGTTTTGAATACCACAATCTTTATCCACAATATCGGAAACAAACACGTGCGTTGTTCAAGTCCGATTTTTTTTTTTTTTTTTTTGCATGAAGAAAACTGGAGACCGAGCCGAGGTTTGTTTTAGTGAACTACAAGTCGAGACAGGTCAAGACTGAATTCGCTGTGCTTTGTGTTTGTGCAGCGGAGCTTTTGGAGCAGGCCGACTACTTGTACAGCTGTGCAGAGACCGAGAAACTCTACCAGCTGCTGCTGCAGTTCAAAGACAGGTGAGGAGAGGAGAGGAGGGATTGCATCCTCAGTGTCTGTTCTCACCTTTTAGATTTGTTTCTGTGTCTGTTTTCCTTAACAGTGAACTGAATGTACTCTATTTTGGGTGCAATGTGTTATTACTGGGGACGGGTACCGAGCCCCGGTATTAAATCAGCCCCCAGGGGGAAATTCTTTCACTGTCTGTGGTGAAAAATTCAGTCTGACATTCAGAGCATCATCTGATCTGTCCTTCAGGATTTTAGTTGCACTTTCAGAGCACAGAAGAGCCAGATTTAGTGACAAACTGTTACTTCAGTTTCAGTTTTTGTCCGACAGAATGTTGGTGGTACAAGAAGTAGCTCAACTGTTTTCTTCACTGAACTATTAAAATCACAGTAAAAAAAATACTGTCCAAGTCCTGCATTCTTTTTATGCTCAGAAGTGAGGAGTGAAAGTTTTTTATATCAGCACAAGGTGGAGCGTTTAATTTTGTTATAATGCTGCGTAGAAGCCAATAATGTAATAAAAGTCCTGAACCGATAATGTAATAACTTATGGCCAATAACAAAATAACTTATTACGTTATTGGCCTGGTAAAAAAAAAAAATTTGCAAATGTAATAACTGAGCCAATAATGTAATAATATACTAATATCACTTTATTTCACTCATTATTATTGGATATAACTGTGAAAATGCATATGCTTTCTGTCTCTCTATCTGTCTCTCTCTGTCTCGGTCTCTCCCTGTCCCCGCCCAGGAATTAAGACTATTTATTTGTTTAACCTGATGGTCAGAATCACTATGTCCAGCCCTGCCTTCAGCTCCATACGCCATTTAGGTTCCAACACTTACAAACACAAACAATTACTTCTATATTACACCTATAATATGAAAACTATGCCTCTTTGAGGACGATGTATTCTCAAATGAAATGACCGCACATGTTGGCCATGAACAATGTCATCCTTATTAAACCTTCGGAACAATTGTTCAGGAAAACATGTAAAGATATCCAGTCCTCTCCTTAAATTAATTTTTAGCTTCTTTCAAGACCCTGAACTGTAAACCAGAGCATATAACATGAGCTACAAAATAACTCTGTATGATTGTCCCTCTTTTTTCTTTTTTTTTTAAAGAACTAAAATTTAAACATTTAAAAAAAACAAATTTAAATTATTTGCCAACTTGAAAAAAACAAACAAACAAAAAAACACCAACTAAACATGGTGGATACTTTCATCCATCGACTGTCCTTGCTAAACAGCTTTTTAAGACGTGTGATGAGACCACCGCCACGTCCAGCAGCCTTGGAGAGTTTCATAATGTTTTTGTTAAATTCCAAATTCTCTGCAAGTCTCTCTCTGATGTAAATATGGGGATGAAACGGTGCAGCTAGGTGGCGAAACAAGACTGAGACACGATTGAACGTTCCCAGCATGGACTTGATTGAGAGAACAGGCAGTGATCATTGATAGGACTTCTGTGGGTAGCTATGGAGGCTCATTGACTGACATGGTGAGAGATGGCTTTTTGAAACGTTGTGATTACCGCTCTGACCAACACATTGTCATTTACCCTCCATATAGAGGGGTTATGACTTCTCGATGAAGTCATTTGCTGTGTGCAGCGCTGTGTTGCCTTTGCGAATATTAGGATTATATTTTTCCATATAAACTGAATTTGTAATAAGTTGGACAACAATGACTGATGCATACGTTGGCTGTATCTGTAGAGTTCATGTGAGCTTTTGTGTTTCCATGCAGTGATGACGCAGAGTTCCTGTGGAGGCTGGCCCGGGCCTCTCGCGACCTGTCCCTCCTGCCCAACATGGAGGGCGAGCGGAAGAAGCAGCTGACGTTTGAGGCCTTCGAATACGCAACGAAGGCTCTGGAGAAGGACGAGATGTGTTTCGCGGCACACAAAGTGAGACGGCGATTTCGCTGCTGATTCCTCTCCGTCATGTTTCCTACAAAGTCACAAGTCGGTTCGGGGTGTCGCGACACATCAGTACTGACACATGTGATAATGTCCAGTTATGATCTGGTTGACACTCCAACATGGAAGCAACATACAGACCAGTTATGGTTACACACCTCCCTACAACTGTATTTTGAGTACATTTTGTTCAGTTACTTTGCCCCCCCCAAAAAAAGAAGACAAACCACACAAGTTAAAGATAAAGTTGACAGACATCATTTTGATTTATCTGACTTTAGTGTAAACAGTACAATGGCACTGTTATTGTGAATTCTTTGGGCCGCAGTAATCTTGTGGGGACGACTAGACTTTCTGGCAACTTTGTTTGTGGCCATGATGTTTTTTTTTGGCTCTTCTGATTATCAATGGACACCACAGTGAAACAAGCTGTCTTTTTGCATGCATTCTTACTCGCATATTGTTGCCAATATGTAAAGCACCGAGGTCAGATTCACTTTCTTTTCCTCCTGTCCTAACTCAGTGGTACGCCGTGTGCCTCAGCGATATTGGGGATTACGAAGGAGTCAAGGTTAAAATTGGAAATTCGCGCATCATCAGGGAGCATCTAGAGGTGAGAGAACGTTTGTGCCGGTGTCGTCACCATCGTCATATTGTCACATTTAACTTGATTCTGATGTGAAACTTGTTGCTTTTCCCCCAGAAAGCCATCAAGCTCAACCCCAAAGACGCTACGTCCTTACACATTCTGGGTTACTGGTAAGTCTTTTTTATTTTTGTTTCCACTTTAAAGTTTAGCGAGTACAGTTAAGCATGAATACAAACTGAGCGTTGATGTACTTCCCCACAAGAGAGTTGAAATCCTACCAAAAAAAAAAAAAACAACAACTCTGGGAAAGTGCTGGGATTTCTTAGTTACTGTTGTAGCTGTTTGTCAAAAATCTAACTCCACCTTAAAATCAAAGAGGCATTGATGCACTGAGCACGTGCTGCACACGGACAAAAGAAGTCCATTGTCCAAACTAAGTTCGTGTGTTTTTGTTGGAAGACGAAAGAACAAAGAATTACAGTTTCTGCTCTTGCTCTGGTTAAAAAAAAAACAAAAAAAAAACAAACCACTGGCTCTCCCCAGTGCATGCTGGTCCTTGTACACTATAAAGCACCCTGTCATGCCCCACCTGGGGCTGGCCAAGACACAACACCTGCTCCCCATCGTCTACAGAGCCAGAAATGCAGATCAGGTGGGATAGAGTGCTCTTGGATTTTTATATATTCAGCCTCATCAGTCAGCAGCCAATCACCTGCAGGCTGGCAGCTTGTTAACCAATCGTAGGCTGGCAACGGCACACTGGTAACATGCTCATAGGCTACCCTACAAAAACTAAACCAGTTAGACTACATGGGGAAAAAAGATCAATGAACAACAGACAAATAAAAACTCTTATTCAAATGCACAAACATATGAAGAAAGTAAACACTCAAGCAAATTGTACAGTCG